CTCTTTTTTTAATCTACATCAGTGACCATTTTTTTTTTAGCTCCAGCTACAATACCAGACAAAGCATATTGTGTATTTAGACTAAATGCAGAGTCACTGTCGTCATGTGACACGAGGTGCCAACTCTGATTGGCTATAACCTTTTATCACCTCTACTGGTCGTTAAAATTCAATGTTGTTTCCATAGAAGATGAATCCTAGATTTTACACGCAGCACATGGGAGCAGTGTCATTAACCGATGACGTGCAGCGAGCCTTAAGATTTGTAAATTACGACAACCTGTGCAGCTTCATCAGTTTCATCCAGACTTTCTGTCGCTGAGCAAGAATGTGACACCAGCACCATCATTAAATAAACTGGCTGGCATTTTGCGAAAGACACTCAAATAAGAAGATCGATACCACTCTCACATTTAAGTTAAATATGAAGCTAGAGCCACTGGACGATTGGATTAGTTTAGGAAACAGACCGGAGGAAGCTGGCAGTCTGGTCTCACTATTTCTTGGCAAACTGAAAATGGTTTCCAGACATTACGCAAAGTCACGCTCATCTCCATCCAGCTCTGTACCTCCATGACTTTTCCCTTCTCAGCAGCCAGATATGAGAAAGGCTTTTTATCTTTGCATCAAACTCTATTTCAAACAATGCACTATTGCAGAAGCACCGGATGTATTTGAATTATGGTGCAAGTAAGAGATGTGGACATGGCCGAGCTCTGGATCCGGGCTACAGCAGATATGGAGCTTTAAAGTTTTTGCTGTGTAAAAATACTAAACTTAGTTAAAGTTGGAGAGAGATAAACACGAGAAACACGAGAAACATGAGAAACGTGGACTGTAAACTCTGCAGAGTTAGTTGGAGGAAAGAATTTCCAACAAATTAGGTGTCAACTCCGACTTGTCCACACAGTCTCGGCCCAATTTGGTCCCATCAGCTTTGACGCCTAAATTATAAATAAAACTGGCTCAACAATCTCAATATGCGTTGCTGCCTTTGGGGGAAAAAAAAAAAAAAAAAGCCTGCGTCTCCTTGTATGAGAACAGAAAAGAGCTCGGCATGCTCTCCACACCAGACCTTGTAAGGTAGAGGTTTCTTATCCGTTCTGTGCGTTGTGTAAATATGGGCTCCTTGACCACACTGTGTCTGCTGCACACACACATTCAGACACACACAGTCTCTCTTTCTCTGACCCCAATGTTGTGGGCTTGCAAACACAATGGTTTCACTCAGGGTGAGCCAACCAGCCAGCTTACCGGCTATCCAGCTAATTCCAGCAGCTACAGTGGGTCTCCAGCATGCATGGAGCTTTAACTACCTATAGGGGGGTCAATATTTGTTATCCAAAAACTTGGAGCTCTGCCCACAGTTGGCGGGAGGTTTGTTTTCAACTCGCTATGTCTGTTAACGGGCTGAAAACATGAATGAATCTGCACAAAAACAACCTCTGTGTGCAGCAGTTGGATGTAAAGGGGGTGAGAAGAAACGTAGTCGGGGTTGTTTCACAACTTCTAAATGGATTCACGTGGCAAGACATCACTTTCTCACCCAACAGATGATCCAAAATGCATTTTCCTCTTTCAAGTCTGCGTTTTTTTCAACTTTGTTTGTTCCGTCAGCAGTTTTTCAACTCTTGTTACAAAAGGTCCTGTCAACACTTTACAATGGTGTTTCATGAGAAGAATTGTTTTGGTCCACATGGGATTTTATTTTACCGCACTTGGCCACCCAGACAAACAAGGCTGTGGCGACACACCATATGAGGGTCTATTAATACATCCATGGTGCCAATCGGCACACAGAGGAAAGAGGAAAAGACTCCATCACAGGCTGAACCATACATGCTGTTCATTTCAGTTTGGACCCAAACCATCCAGAACCTGGTATGGTACAGAAGCAGCTGTGTCCAAACATTACAGAGACTATAAAATCTTTGCAAAATGCCACCTGCAAGAGACAGATTTTTTGCTATGTGTAACATTAAATGAATCACTCATAGCCATCCATTTACAGACAATTATTGGTGTTTGGTATCATAAGAAGCCAACTTTCTGCCACCTGCCCTGGACCAAATTGGACGAAACTAACAAGCTGGTGAACAAAGTGGATCCTAACCTTTAAACTAACCAAACAGACCAAACAGGAGTTAGGAGGAAAGCAATATTTGCACCTATATTCCTCAAGTGGCCAGAAACACAACTTCAAACGGACCCTCTGGACCCATTTATACACATTCTTACTCACTGTGGGCTCATTTTTTCAATGCAGCATAAAGTCCTGCCCCTCTATGGAAACAGCACAACCAGGACTAGAAGGAGAGACAACTCAAGAAATGTTTTCCATACATCATAGCAAAAGAAGAAAAAATTAAGTTACTGAAATTGCAGGGTACTGAAAGTGCCCACAAGTATTATCAATGCCAATAAGTCCCAGAATTTTCGACACCTGACTGTAAGATGCTGCAGAGTCAGTCATGGCGTCATGGTTTTACAGAATGTGGTTGGTACGAACATACTTTCTGTAGCTAATACAGTGAACTTAATAAAGTAGCACAATTTCAAGCTTCAGTTTGGTTAATTTTCCAGACAGAACCGCACGTTGCACATGATTAGGTCAAGGACTGTTGGAAAGCTGAAAATCCGATGATTGTTTGGGTTTTACAGTTTCTGTTTTGGATAAATGGTGCCATTTTGGTGATGCTTGTAAATTGCTGCCGTAGGGATTTGGGGCTTGGATGGCTGATTACAGCTTCCGTGTTTGCAGGATGTGTAGATAAGCAACTTTTTGCTAGATGTTAAAATGTTATGTTTGCAGATTATTCAAATATTAAAGAGTTTTTCTTTTTTTCTATCCCAAGCTTGGTGTTGATTGTCCTGTAATCTGAACTGATCCGATATCTCAACACATTTCAGGCACAGTCATGTAAATGCGTGGGCGTCCTAAAGCATGACGCTACTGATACAGCCCTTTTCTCAAGCAAGTTGCAAAGTGATTTAAAGAAAAGAAGCTATACTGACTTGCTGGAGTTCTGCTACGACTGAGAGCAACCCACTTTATAATTCATTTTGATGGAAGGCGACCTTCTCTAATTATGATCAGTGAAAAGGTCAGTCTGAAAGGCATTCAATTAGCCTGACAGGAACAACCTACATGACTGGATTAACTTCCTCTGCAGTGATGAATCACAGCGAGACGCCGAAGTCACCACTGTGTCTGCTTCAGTTTTATTTATTTCAGTGGACTAATCTGCAGCACTTGTACCTCCCGGCGGGTTCAAAATCTACTAAGAGGGGCTCAGACATATCTTGATCTCAAAAAATAGGCTAGGGCGGCTAAATCACGGCTAAAATTGGAACACAAAACATGCAGCAACACGCCTGTCTGATGCTACCACAGGAGAGAAGCCTGAAATAGCGCGACAGTAATTATGTTAAAAAGGTACAGATCGTTTCCATGATCCGCTATAGCACAACAAACCACTCCTCTGCATTAAACTACACTTCCTTTTAACCACCAGCATTTGGCAGATTTGTCCTTAAGACAATGTTTTGAAGCCAGGTTCCCCACGGCGGCTCATCCTGGGTGAGCCAGCCAGGAGTCATGGTGGCCACAGAGTGACCTCCAGCTCGTGTTGTCTTGGTTATGTAAGAAAGGAGATCGCACTACGTCACTGAGGGGGGAACCGGGCATTTGGAGAGGAAAAAGAAGACGCAAGAGAGAAGAGGAGGGGGACTGCATGGGAAATTGCTTTGAATTATAAATAATGTTATGGCTCTTTCAGCCTTTTATCTCCCTGCTTCTCACTCTCATGTCCCCCCCTCTTTTCTTCCTCTCCTTCTTTTCACTCTTCACACCCTAAAGGCTCCAGTGCACTCCAGACTGAATCGGACTTGGCGTATTTTCAGAAACTGTCAAAGACGACACTGGGTGCAGATGTCAGTATGCTCGGTGTGACTTGAGGTCTCTGCATGTGTGTGTGTGTCTTTGTGCATGCGTGCTGTGAGTCACAGCGCAAGCCAGCTAATCTCCAAGCGGATCTGGAGGAAGTCCATTGGAACAAGGTGAACAGGAGTTGGGATACATGCCCGGACCTTTTAGCTGTCAAGGTGTCTTCTTAAAAGGCACAACAGCATCAGGACAGAGAACAAGACTCTCCGTTCCCTTGCGAGCTGGATTATGTTCACAAGTGCTTCACATGATACATATTCTTACTACAAGGATGCAATTTCATACCTCAGATTCTAGCCAAATATGTATTTTGATCCATGCATCCTCCTCGCTGAGACGATTTGCAGCTTTTCCCTTTTTTACATAACAATAATTAGAAAATCTTTCCGACAGTGAGCAGGACAAAAATAGACATTTGAAGACATAAAATTGGGCTTTTCTAACCTTCTATTTATGAAACAATTGATAAATTATTTTAAAAATTGGCAAAAAAGGGTTACTCAGTAATGAAAACAGTCATTATCTGTAGCCCAAGTAGCCAAGAAAACATGTGAACTGAATATGTTTTCACACAGAAAGGGGAAACTAAACAGATCTGACACTTCTGCATCTTCACAAGTATTCACATGCAGAAACAAAATAATTAGGGAAGGCCAAAAATATTTCTGCCTGAAGATATTTTAACTGTGAATAATACAGGCACAGTATTAGGTCTAGCAGCTTGCAAAAAAAAACCAACAATCTTTCAAATTTAGGCACAAGAAAGACTGCAGGTAAGATAAGGATTAAGCAGTAATGAATTTAATTGTCAGTTGCAGCCCTTGTTTTGTTGCTGCTGCTGGTTTATGAAGTCAGCCTCACCAAAAAGCCAATTAGGAGCCGGTTAGGTGAGGATTAACTGCCTTTCTTTGTTTTCTCAGGGTGAGAGGGTGCAGGCAGCAGGAACAAAGTGGGATGATGCAAAAGATTGGTCAGAATATGACTTTATAGTCTTTGTTTGAGTGTGAAGCTATGGTGTTTTCATGTAAACACTGATTAGATGGACTCTACTCACCTATTTGCAGCAGTACGGGCGTGACCAGCGCCGTCTCCATGGCGTAGCAGAACTCCCGGCCGAACATGACGGCGCCGTGCATCACCCATCTCTTCAGTGGGATGCCTTCGATGGATCCTTCGCTTGCCGACTCCTCTCCTCCTCTGCGTCCTCCTCCTCCCCCGCCGCCGCCGCCGCCTCCTCCCGATCCATCCGTCTCGCCTCCCGCTCCTCCTTTCTCCTCGTCCGAGCCCGATGCGGTGGAGTTTTTGGCGTTGACCCCGCCAACCAGAGATCCGACCTGCATAGCGTCAGCCTCTGTGTTCTGGGGAGGCATGGTGGAGGGCATGCACGCGACGAGAAAACAAGCGCACCCTTCGAGTACACAAATCTGTGAGCAGTGATGTGTGGCTTACCAGAGAGGAAAAAAAACAACACTTCCCTGCTTCCACAAAATGCTTGTGTGGAGTTACTTTAAAACTAGTAGTGACTTCCTAGAAGTAACTTCATTACAATCTTTACAAGTTACGAATTGCAACCTGTTGTTATAAAGTTATTACATCTATTAGTCAAGTGCTCAAGACACGATGGAGTGCTAATAACACTAGAATAAGAACTGTAACAGATAGTGTCCCAGCATGCGAGGTATTAAAGTTTATCTAAAACTGGGTCCTGCTAAAATTAACAAAAGGCTTAATGAATGAAGAAAAACTGATCCGAAATTTCCAGATCTTTTACAGTGAAGAAAACAAAGCCCCCCACCAAAAAAAAAAATAAATCAATCAGCTGTCCTCTAAACAAGGTGTCCTCCAAAAAAAAACAAAAAACACTGCAACTTCAAACTTGTTAATCCTCCTCGAAAAAAAAAAAATCAGCTTTTCCCAAGGCTTGTAGAAAAATCTCCCAAAAAAATAAAGGAAGCAGTTGAATTTCACAGGAAGAGTGAGCGGTACATTCCAAGAGTGACTTTGTGCATTTGCTTTCTTTGCGTGTGCGTTTTGTCAGGTGTGTGAGATACTGCCTGGAAAACTGTGTCAGCTTTATTTGGTATGACAGTGTGTTGTGCGTCCGTGTGCGTGTGTGTGTGTTTGTGTGTGTGTGTGTGTATGTGTGTGTGTATGTGGCAGGTGTTTATGGCTTTTTTGTCATTGAGGTTTCCTCCTCGTTTTCTTTTTTTTTTTTCTCCTTTCCTTTACTGTCTATTACAAGCAGTAAAAATCCATATAGAAGACCATTCGGTGAGTTCCAGAGTCATTTTGTGTATGGAGGGCTGGATGGCGGTGTGGGTGGGGGCGAGCAGGAGGCCGCTGGGGGTGGGGGGAGGAGGAGGAGGGCAGGCGGCGACGGTGGGCGGAGCTCCTCTGAAAATCCCCATCGATTGGCTGATCAATCTGGAGGAGAGCGACGGCAGGACGCCAAGAGACAGAAGAGGGAAAGAAAACACACCAGTGAGTTACAGCGACTCGACTTACATACTGACTTGACATAACGCGTCTCAAGTGTGTCCACATGGACCTGTGAGGTGAAGCAATGAGTGCATTTTCGGCAATTTAGCGTGCATCAGCTGACACAAGAAGAAGGAAAAAGAAGAAGCGGTTGTCTGAAAAGCTGATGCACATAAATGCTGGAAAAAGGAAGCTGAGGTTGAGTAAAAATCAGTGGCTGTGGGTGTTTTGATATGCATCTCGTGCCAGTTTTATACCCGCAGAGAAGGCTTGAAACAACCCAGAAATGTTGCCAGTCTAAGAGTTTGTGTTAGTTTTTCCTGCGTGTAGATCTTTAAACGATGAAATATGCTTGTGGTAACACCAGAAATAAATTTCTTGGTGCCTTTTTGTTCCACCAGAACATTCTGGTAGTAACTGTCCTGGTTATGGCTGAAATTGTTGTTAATTTTCGTACAATAGCATCTTTGCAATATTATAGTTCTGCTGTTAACATGTTCTATTTTTTTTTATCAGATTCCTGCAAGGTCGCTCGGTGGTTAGCATGGTCGCCTCGCAGCTAGAAGGTCGCTGGTTCGCGTGAGGACACCCGGGATCTTTCTGTGTGGAGTTTGCATGTTCTCTCCGTGCAGCGTGGGTTCTCTCCAGGTTCTCTGGCTTCCTCCCACAGTCCAAAAACATGCTGAGGTTAATTGGTGATTCTAAATTGTCCGTAGGTGTGTCCCCTGCCTTCAACCTGAGTCTGCTGGGATAGGCTCCAGCCCCCAGTGACCCTAGTGAGGATTAAGCCGTGTATAGATAATGGATGAATTGATGGTCCTGCAGCATTGTTCAGTCTAGTCCTTGCCTAGATTTTATCTTGACCGAAGTGGATGCCTGAATTTTCCTCTGGATCAATAAAGTATCTATCGATCTATCTATCTATCTATCTATCTTACACTGTGACTACTTTTTACATGGAAACCAATAAAAAGAAAACTTATAATCTATCAAAATGGCATCATTATAAGTGGGAAGATGCTGCTTTTTGTAATTCAGTGTTGTGAGCATGCAAACAACTTTTTTTTTTTTTTATCATGCTGTGCTCATGACTGAAATGTCAAAAGCCAATAACTCAAAACCTGAACGCGTTACAAAGAAATGTCTACATGGCCAGACGCCACAGGGGCAAAAGAGAAAAAAGTGTATTTATGTGCCTTGGGTGAACCAGCTGGCACATGTTTGAGTGCCGAGTTGTGTGAGAATACCAACATGCTGACAACACAAACTCACGCACACACACACAGATACACATTCTCTCCTATGAAAAGAGTCCATTTTTTAAAGAGTGTAACTGGCTCGAGCACATGATTCATCCGTGCAGACACTCGGACAGTCTTTGAAACTGGACTGGGGAGGGATGAAAGAATGCAATGTGCTTCATGAGATGAAACAATTTTTTTCGAATCGGGCTACTGTTTCAAACAGAGGGCTTGTGTGTGTGTGTTGTGAGGAGAAACAGCAGATAGATGGGAGGAAGGAGAAAGAGGAGAGGCATGATACGAGGTTAACAACACGCCTCACAGAAAGAGAGAAAAACAGTCTGCATGGAAGTTCGACACGATTTCCCACAGAGTTAAATTCCAAAGTGTGTGTTTTTGTGCGCTGCTGGATTATAACCCGCGGAGACGGCACGTTTCGTCACACCCAACACACACTAATGCTGGCCACGTGAACAACACGCCACATCATAACAGTGCTAAGACCCTCATCAAGCCTCTTAGGGAGAGAAAGAGAACAAAGTGAGAAGGAGGGAGTGAGGGAAGGAAGGAAGGAGGGTCTGAGCAGGTGGACGGTGGGAGAAGTCAGGGATGGAGGGAGAGCTGGGAGACGATAAAACAAAGAGGAAGCCGTCAGATGCTCGAGGACGGACTTTACTTTCTCTCTCTCCTCATCTCCATTTTCAGCACTCTCACATGTTCCCATTAACATTCATGATGCACTCAAGATGTCCATGAATATTTTAGCGCTCGCAAACACACACAGGCCCCGCCTCACCTGACCTCACACACACTGCAGCGTGTTACGTAACCTCTCCTCTACAAACACACACTAATTATACGTAAAATATGATCACAACAACAACAACAAGAACACCACAATCCCCGCCATCAGCCAGAAAGAACTTGATGTTCCGAAACACCCAAAAAAAAAGCCTCCGCGGAGAGACATGTCACAACACGCTAACAACCAGAGCAACACAACATGCAGTTCTGGTTAACCAGATATCTGCAGTTACTTCATGTGTGATGGGAACATAAGTTATAGTTAAGTTGGGAATGGTAAAAGGATCCCAGCAGGGCGGAGGAGCTGGAATTATGGTGTGGGTAAGCGATTCCTTTTTATTAATGTCATGTTGAACAAACAGGACCACACAGCAGCTAATGTTGATTTAATTACCAACATCACACCATCTAAAGCTCTTCAGGAGGCTGGCTTTAACAGGCCTGCACACCGTAATTAGGGCTGGAACTAACAACTACCTTCACCTATTCACCTGCAAACCATTTTATCCAGAAATTGCACTTGTTCTTTATTTAACTTGGATAACCACAGTTTTCTAAACCCGGGAGAAACACCTTCAGATTGTTTGTTTTGCAGGACAAACATCCCAAAGCCATAAGACATGTTGTTTATTTTCACGCAAGACAAGTTAAATTCTCGCAATTGAACCAAAGCTAAATTTCTGTCACTTTTTCAGCAAAAAAAAAACTCAAACTAGGTGGAAATTTTCAAAATCTGTCCATCGCCTGATTGATTAAATGACCAGTCTTTAAATGTAAAATCCTATTTAGAAGCTATGCTGCCTGGAAAATCAAACCATAAGCAAACAGATTGCAGCTGTGAAAAGTTTATTTGTCATTTCAGTTGATTTTTACAACAAAAAGTTTCTGTTCGGCAGCCATATCTTACATTTTCGCAATTTTCTACAGCTAATCGTTTTAACAACCACAAGCTCAAACAACACTGAAATCTTAGTCATAACTTAATTTCTTGGATTAATTATAATAAAAACTGTATCGTATATCATTTCTCGAAAACAAAGCTACAAAATGCTTTTGCGATATTTAACATTTATTGCGTCAAAGCGCCTTCCATTAAAGAAAGACGACGAATGGTGTTATGGAAGTAACCCAACAAGTAGTGCTACTGATGGTGTGATTTCTACTTGAGTAATTTACATATTATAGATCAACGCCCTACACAAATGAGGTAGAAAAATAAATAAGAAAAGCTGTGGTTGACTTATCAGCAACACATTTAAAACAACTGACAGGTGACGTGAATAACTGACATTAAAATTCAACGATCTGGTGGGAAACCTTGGGTCCTACATTCATGTTGATTTTACATTTATTGTTGTGGCTGATTAGTTGTATTTAATTGACAGAGGTTTCATCAAAAGTTTACCATGAGATTTTGGTGGGCGGTGAGCTTAACGCTGACATAATGATCAAAACTTATCAATGAACAAATACGAGTCAGACCATAGTCACAGAGATCTCCAAAAAGTTTTACATCTCTGAAACTTGATTCTTGAATGAAATCTGTGGAAATAGATAAACACCTATGTAAGAATCAAGAAAACTTGGGACTAAATCACATAAAACAATGCCTTTTTTATTTTTATTTTTACATAACCGAGTGGTCAGAACGTGGCTCAATTTGTGATGCCAAAAAAAAAAAACAAAGAAAAAACCCGCCAGTGACGAAAGAGAGGACACCTGCTGAGCACAATGAGAGCCAAATGACTCAACAAAGCAAAGAAATGGTAAACAGCGCCAGTTGTCAAGGGCGAAATCTGAGATGAAACAGAAGCTGAATCCATTTGAATACTTCTGTAAAACATGAGGGACAGTTAATTCATCCGTCCTGACAGCGCTGCGTTTAGTCTGAGGCTGTTTTGGAAGCTCGTAGGAGAGTTTAAGAGCAGCCCATCAAGTTTGACGACTTGCGGTCGTGTCCTATACGCACCGTAAATATGTGGATCCGAGCTCGGAACGTGTAATTACAGCGGTGTGTGGTTCTTAAACGAAAGAAAATAACAAGTCGAAGAGCACAAACATGACAATTGAAGGCCTTCTCTTTCTCGTTATCAAACGGCACGATCTGGCCTGCATCTGTAATTCTCAGCGCTACAAAAGGCACAAAGCGGTGAATGCTATCTGATTATAGGTCCGCACACATGTCGCAGCAGTTAGCTCCACTATTGTTTCTGGGTGTGTATGTGTGTGTGTGTCTGTAACATGAGCTCAGCTTATATAGAATTACACCTCAGCTTTTCTGGGAGCCAACATCAACAAAACACAATCTCACATCAGAGCAGAGGGCGACGGAGGGAAAGCAAGGTGGGAAAACGGCAGAGGAGTGATGAGGGATAAAGGAAAACGAAGGAAAGAGGAGGTTTGGAAAGACAGACTGGAGAATAGAAACAGAATAAAAATGCTTTTAATCTCCCGGAGAATTTAAAAAGAGAGACACAAGATGAGTGGAAACCAAGAGCAAGGAGGGGAGGAAAGAAGATGCCTGTAAAGTTCAAGGTCGTGGACATATTAAGAGTCTGTCGTCTCCCGTGTCTCACAGTTCAACACACACACACAGTCTTTCTGATTCTGCAAGTGCACACAATAAGCACACATAACCCTGGTCTATTTCAGGGAGTGTTTATTCTTGCGCCAGACCAGATTACCTGCGACACTGACACGAAATCAGGACAAGCTCCCTCTTTCTCGGGAGATGGATGAGGTCACAAATGGGGCACGGTGCCAACGTGCAAAGAGACCGATGACTTAAATTGTAAAATATTCAGCGTGCTCTCCTGTGCAACCCTTAGGATACGCTGACTCACTTCTGTGACACTGCAGACTTGAAAAACACGAGTGTCTTATCAGTTATGTAAAGCCGAG